TCGCCTGTAAGTGTACGTATTTCTGCTTACACAATGGATGTCAGTTGAGTGGGTGGTTGAGCAGAACCACATTCGTGTTCACACCTGTTCTTAGAAATCTCTAAAACGTGCTTTTTCTCCACACAGATTGTCCTCAGCGACTGTTTAAAACGTTCCATGTCAGTCCTCAGAAATATGAAATCCTTCTATGTCACTTTAAGGCAGATGCAGTAGTTTGTGCAATTATTCTGTAAAATCCTACTAAGATTATCATCCACTTCTTCTGCCTCGGAGCACGTCGGCTCTGCAGACAGAACTCAAATTAATCGAAAACAGGAGTCTAGTGTGAAGCCGCTTGTCACTTACTGCCTCCATGAACTCATCTGTTGTTCTGGCAAAGCAATAACTTGGAACTATTGAGCATAATGGTGACACATGACCGCCTATCAGATTTGGACTTGAATGTATGTATGTATGAATGTAATAATGCCAGGTTACAGATCAAGCCATCCTGTTTTGAGGCGGTTGCTGACACCCAACGGTGCAGTTTCAGGGGACTTGGGCACATCCTTGTTTGGCAGACCTGACAAACAAAACTGTCCTAATGTCTATTTTGTCCACACTATCTCTTAAACATCAGTTTCTCCGTTGACTAATCCCAGCCTGGCACTGATTAAAGATGACCGCGATGTGACACGCTGTCTTTTCACTTTCTGCTGGCTCCGAAGATGCTGAAGCGCTTTGTAGTTTCCCCTCACTTCCAGAGACAGAGGTCAGTCACAAACACTTCCACTTAGACAATTATAAACACCTCAGTGTGATGCAGTCACCGCTAGTGACCTCACAAACATGTTTTTAAACTCAAAGTTTTTGACCCTGTTCCATGACCACTTTCAGTGAGGACAATGTGCTCAGACAGCCGTGAGATACAAAAAAAAAAGGTTGTCTTTGAATTAAATCTGGGGTTTTGCAAAACTTTCCCATATTGATGATTTTGTCTGCCTATAAATTTGAATAAATATATATCTAATTTAACATTTCTGTAGTGTGGAGTATGTCAATGTGTTTTCACCAAAATACTGCAGATAAAAGCAGCATATTTGGGCAAAAATATAGCAATGAGCATGTGGATTGACAGTTTCAAATGGGAATTTATTATAGCTGATGGGAATTCAAGGTGAAGGAATCTACAAACTTGTCACAGCTGCTTTTCAAGCATAATGGGAACGAGTCTCTGACAAGAAAATACATTTTGGGTGGAGTATCACTTTAACAAGGCCTTATTGCCTGTATGCCTCCTTCAACTGCTGATGGCTGATTTATTTACTTTCATGACTTCAGTGAGGTCTGGTCTGCGCTGCAGTCAGCACAGCGGTGTCTGGTTCGTGTTCTCTAACGCGCTTAACTCTCACCCACAGGGATTTATGTGCTGATCTTGATTTATATTTGAGGTCTTTTCAGTGGACCAAAAATTCTGAAAATGGCTCGGCCTCCTCTGGTCTGGCTGGTAAACCTCATTAAAATGTTATTTGGTAGGTGGGAGGAGGCTGGCAGGGGGAAACATTAGCGGTTCCACTTCAGCGGAACCATAAAATCAAGTCAAACGGCGATTTGACGTGGCAGACCACCAAATGTATATTGTTTCCACCAACCGCAATAAGCATAAATATGCTGATTGAGTAATGCAATAAGGACGTGGAGGCTGTGGTAATATACCTGGCTGTAAATAAAGTTAGCGTATGAAGGAGCTGAGAGTGGAAGCAGCTGTCGAGTTATTCCTTGCAGACTGGCTGGGATCGCACTCGTTTCAAAATTTTGTTATTTTATTTAACTATTTTCTATCGTTGAAATAAGCAGAGCAGTGATGCTAACTAAGTCAGGCTTAAATCCTGGTTAAGACCATAGGAGTTCCTTTGAATCCATCTCTCATTTCCAATAGTGCAGCAAAATACCCTAAAACGTCAGAGCAGATGCCTTTTATTTAATCTATACAAAGAAAAAAGAAAATCCTCACACATATAGGAGCTCCCGTTAAAGGATTCATTTTCTGCGGTGACGCTTCAAGGCTCTTCTTCAGACTTATGTTAGGTACACAGTCACCATCTTAAAAAACTATAATCCATTTTGACAAACTCATGTGATATGTCACAAGTCATTAAGAAAAAAATTGAATAAACGAGCAACCAGTGCTCTGCAGCTATATATAAACCACCTCTGGGACTTATCATTGTTGTAGATCATGACAGCAAAGCGCTCACAACTGATTCTCCAGTTCGGGGTTTTGCGTCCTGAGTCGCGCTTCACAGAGCTTTGAATAAACAGGTGAACAGCTCTGTGTGCAGCAGCGGTGGCACAGCTTCAGAGTTCTGTGTATTGAGTCCTGCAGCAGGTTTTTTTTTTTACTTGCAGCCGCTCGATTACTGCAGGTCATTTTTACAGTTTCAGAGTAAAGCTGCAACCAGCATCTCCACAGTCCGAAACAAAACAGCCCATCCCAAACAAGTCAGTGTAATCAAAATAGTCATAGTCAGGGTCAAGCTGTTCAATTGAAAAAAGAAATTAGTTGTTATATGGGAGAATTATTATGTCAAACTATTTCTTTATGAACAACCCTAATTTGATAAAAAGCATGTCTCAATGGATTTTTCCAAACTTGTCCTGGAGTTAATGACAGTTGAAAGAAATGTAATTTACGAAGAGTGCAAACAGTTCATCCTGTGCTTTAGACAGACAAAAGTTTGGGAGGAAATACACCTGACTGAGGTGTGGACACTTATACCTCAACTGTTTGATGTGTTTGCAGGTGGCTGACAGGGGATGAGTGTGTGCTTGAACTAGCTGCGTTGGGGGGGGTGAATTTGTTACTGGCAGAGGTTGAATTAATGTCATGGTTGGCACTCCTTGCCCTGAAGAGCCTGCACAGCTTCATCCTCCTCATTTAAAGTCAAGCCAAGCCGAGCACTTACGACGCAAAAACAGACCCTGAAGACACACACACACACAAATGTGTACCCTTGTGTTATTAGATTAAGAGGCTCTTCAAATTGGATGGATTATTTTGTGGGCAATTTGAAGAGTTTGAAACATGATGAGAGAAAGACGTGAATGCTGCCCCAATGCCCCACAGCAGCATCACTGATATTTCCACTGTCAGGCAGACCCTCAGTGAACCAGACTTAAGATCCCCAGCCAGCCAGCGCATGCACACGCACACGCACACACGCACACACACACCTAATTGTTTAGCTAAGTCCTCGGGAATCTTGGCACTAACACACATCCGCACACAGTGAAGGCCTGATGATAGAGTAGTTTGCTGAGGTGACATCTGTAGAAGCTAATGCCACGTTGATGGGAAAAGTCCTCAGTATAAAATAGATAAGTGGAGCAGAAGAGGAATTTACATTAATGTTGTCCAGCACAAAACTCCTACCACTTGAGAAAACTTTGAAGTGTTGATGCATTGTTTATGAATCCTGTGATATAGTAGATATCAAGTATCTGGACCGTGGAGTTCACCAAAGTTCTGTATTGTTCTCCATCTTTTGGTAACAATAAATAATGATGAAAGAATGTAAAAGCTTTAATACAAATAGTGAGAGGAATGAGTTATGTTTAATCTGAAAGGGAGAAGTAGTTTGGCTTTGTGACTTGCAGTTGAAAGCCACTGGACGAGATGAAAGTGCATTTGAAAGCGAGAACTAATGCCTGAATGTACTTATGGTCTATTAATCTTGTCCTGCTGTCTTTTTTTATTTAATGAAGCATCAAGTTAATGTGCCACATTTAATGACCTATAATTAACTCTTTGAGTTCTGAATGCTCTGGAAAATGTTGTGATTAATGATTTTCCACTCAGTGTCTCTAGTTAAATGAACCAACCTTGCCAATGTCTTCTCTAATGGTTACTAACAAATCCCAAGTCCATCTTGGACATCTACATGGAGAATTTACTGTGTATCGATATCAAGATTGAGAATACCCCTTGTTATGCATATATACCTAATGTGTGTGTATTGAACAAGTGCTAAAGTTTACTGTGGATTGTATAGAGAGCTATTGTAGATACATAAAAAAGTAATTAATTAAATTGTTCCAGTGTATATGCTAAATATATTTTTAAACAGTCATTATGTTTATTGCCAGAACCCTCTCCTTTCTTCTTTAGCATCTTTTCATGACTCATCCTGCACTTTGTCACATATATACATAGATTTATCAAATTTTTCATGATGTATGTTTCATATTATTTTTCAGCATATTTACATTATATGTGTAATGCCACATGGATGATAATGACAGTTGGTCCACACTGACATATCACAGCATAAATTGGATAATTTCATTCATGGTTTCTTGAGTTTTTCTGTAGGGCAATATGAGGGTCACTGTAGTGTTACTCATGAATGTTTTTGGGTGAATGAATGGACCAAACGGGCAGGGAGAGGTGCTCGAGTGATTGATTTATGTCATCGACTTGTTTGCAGGGTGGGTGAGTCAGTGTCCCCGTGGGAACAAGTCACTGACACGAGTCACTCACTATGTGTGTCTGAGTTCAAGTCATTTCGTTTGCAGGAGTGTGAGGTTTGCTGAAGTCTTAGTGGGTAATTCATCGAAGGGAAATTACTTTGCCACAGCAGCAATGCATCTATTGTACAATATAACACAACAAAAGTTGCATTAAACAAGGAGCAGCAGAAGGAAATACGAGTGATTATAGACAGAGCGAAATATGCATGAATGTTGAGAAACATAGCTTTTCGAGATGTGAAATATAGAAATAAATAATGTTGCCTAAATATACTGTAAATATACATATAAATTATAGTGCATACAATAACTGAACACAATATGGAAAGCAAAACAAAAAATGGCAAAAACATTATAGTCATAGTCCTCAAGTCCAGTCCACCATCACTCGTCTCAAACAAAAGTCAGACACCAAGCCATTTTTGCATTACATCTTTAATGTATACATTATGTACAATAATAAGTTATATATACAGTTATACTTTGGTTCTGTGATGGCTTTGCATGTGTGTTTCTACGCGTTCTACTATAATGTATGTGCTACTGAGGTAAGTAATCCATGTTTGGTATCTGTATATCAGCATAATATACTGTGTGTCAGACAAGATTTTGCATGCCTGGAATCAGGGCTTGGATCCATTTCATTTCAATTCAGTCCAGCAATTAGATTATTTACAAAAGTTCAACAGCATAAAACATCATAAAAATAACTAGTTAAACATTAATTGAACTGGATCTGATGAAGACAGCCCTGCTCTGTGAAAGCAGTTATATTTAGTGTGAGCTTTATCTTTGCCTCTACAAGAGATTTTAGAAAGGAAATAAACTATGACAAACATGCACATTTATTTAAAGTACCGGGGTCCAGCCCCAGGGTTTGCAGAATCAAACAAATGAACAAAAAGCAGTCGAAAAAAAGAACTTGGAAGCAGGTGATGTGTTGATTCTGTGGAGATCAGTCATGGGACATTATGCTGACAACATCAGGCATTAGATAAAGATAAGTTCGATTCCCAAGGAATGAGATCAAAGTAAGTCTTGGCATTGCTTGTTGAATTTTGGAGCTTGACCACCACAGAAAGCAGCATCTTATCTGTTGGTTCTAATCTGTTATTAATGAAGTGCATCAAACGTGACGCTCTTCGTAAAGTTTAATCTGATGCTGTACGGAGCCACCCTCAGTCTCTGTGCATAACAACCGTAAACTGGCTTAGGCTACTTTTCAGAAGTGGACAACCCTGCATATTGTTCTCATTTGCTTTATTGGTCCCATAGGGTAGAGGAGAGCTTAAATCCTGTCTGAGCATGACTGAGCCGGCCACAAAAGCTGAGCAAGATCAGACGTTGTAGGACAACCGTAGCTCTGCTTCCATCACGGCTGGCTGCATTCTCGCACCGCTCGCAGCACACAAACCTCCGGAGGCAGTTAGTCATGCCTGTTGCTGTGGCATCTCTATTTTTTAATGCATGGTTTTTATAGCGTTTCCACTGGGCTTTCAGTGGTTAAGTGGCCCTAAATGCTTAATTGGGTGATGGAAATCACAGGCACTTTGCACCCGCTCTGTAAACCACAACACTTCAGCCTATTAGGGGCCCGGCAAGCCACACGCCAAATAATTAGGACTGGCGGCAGCACTAGACCGCAGCGCTGGGGTGAAAGGGGAAAGGGGGGGATAGACTGGAAGAATTACTGGGGGTGAGGGGGGTCACAGAATGGATCACGGCTGAGGAAGTAGTTTTAGGAAGCGAGCATATCGGCCTGTGTGATTTACATACTTCGCAAAAGCAGTGTGTAGTAAAGAATCTCAAGAGCGCAAATTTAACACATCAAATCTTCAGGTAATTCATTAAAATCCCATAATCCACTCTTGACTATAGTTGTGTCTTTGCTGGTGTCATTACAATTCAACCAGAGACACAGAGGGTGTCCCTAAACGCTCAAAGTTCAAAAGCAACGTTTCCCAGATGTCTTAGCGTTTCCAGCTGGGCATACTCTTTGCATTCTAAAATTGGGAGCTTGTATCTGATGTCTGTCTTTATGACGACAGCACAACCAAAGTCATGAATATTGATGGTTGCTGCAGTCAGACCAGGTCACTTCCTTTGTATGGACACAAACATGGAGCTCCGTCAGCAGATGGTTCAGTGAGGGGGTGGCTAAAAAGTCGGGTGGCACTGCTGCACACTGTATCTTTTTTAATACTGCTTACGAAATGTTGTTTTTGCCTTTAAAGGTTATTGTGTTGCATCCAGCGCACAGTTAAACCAGCTTTTTTCTTGGAATTTGAAAAACTCATCGTGATTGTTTTGTTCTTGCAAAGCAGAAAATATCTAAACAACCGAACAAGAATAATGTGAATTCGAGCAGCCTTTCATTTTTGTCTTTCTCAAACTCTGTAGAACTTTAGAAAGATGGGAATTTAGGCCATAGAAACAATTTCACATTGCTAGCTTCTGAAAGAGAGATCTGTGTCGGCAAAGGTCCACTGACATTCTTCATGTGATGGGTGTAATATGTTTGCTGTATATGTGCTGTCCTCCTAGTTAGGGCAGTATCTGTCCCTACATAAATGTATACTGAAGTCTCTGCTCCGCCACATGTCTAGACACTGGCGCAGCGTTGGGAGGGTGATGGGTACTGGGACTGACACACCAGTTGGCTGTGAAAACTGCTGATGCCTTGCCGTCCGGCGACCATCGTCATCTCTCCGCTGCCCAGCACGTCCGAGCAGAGCGACTCCACTGCGTCCAGCCTCTCGATCTGCACCAGGCGGGTCAGGAGGTCAGGGATGCTGTAGCCCGCCGTGCTCACCCTCTCGAAGAGCTGCAGGCCGTCACTCATGCCGCCGATCTCGTCGCGCTTCAGGCCGAAACTCTCGGCCAGGTGCCTCCACGTCTTCACCACGGCCGCCTCGCTGCTGTAGGAGGAGCTCAGCATGCGGCTGGTCTTCTCCAGACAGTCGAAGGGGAGCTCTGTGGGGCTCAGGCCTGGAGAAGGACAAGGAGTGTTAGAAGTTATACTGGCGTTACAGGTGCATCTCAAAAAATTGTCGGCTATAAAATTTTATATATCCAAGACTCATTTACACTTAAACTAAAATGTTTCAAGCATTTTTTTATTTGAATTTTAATATAAAATGGACTTCAGCTCAGAAATAAAAAAGCGTATATATCTCAAAATATTTTAATATTTAGTTTCAAGTAACTTACTACAAGAGGAAGACTGGACCATCACTCAGTGGTCCGTAGTCCTCTTTTCAGATTCAACATACAAACATACTTTTTGGACATTTCTGAATTGTAAACCCTCTTTTGATTGATCTCAGGAAAAATATATTTTAAGATACTGGAATTTATGATTTTTATGAGCAAGCCGTTTGGTAAAGATGTCTAAAAAAGGCATCTTTAAGCATTGGGGGGAGTTGTTTTTTTTTTAACAAATACATGCAAATGGACGTGAACAACAATTTTAAACATCTTTCAGATGCACTTTAATGCAGTTTATAGAAAAAGTTAAATTCCTCTACAGTATTGAGGGGAAGTCAGCCTTACCCTCTGTTGCATTGCAGGCTCTGGCATATAGATCCAGGATCTTTTTCCTTCGACTTTGTAGCATCTGTGAGATAAGAAAAAAAAAATCACTTTGTGAATTCCAGATGATACTGAACTGGAGATCTGTTCATAATCACAGTTTTTACTGCAGTAACATCTTTAAAGGGTCCTTCTTCCTTACCCCTGGGGTTTTATTGTTGTTATTGATCGCATTCATGTTGCTGATGTGGTTATTGCTGGTGATGTGGTTGACGTTTCCGACATGGTTGGGACTCGGGATGTTGTTGGCCTGGCCGGCCGTGATGGTGGGGGATCCATTGCAGGCGTGGTCGCTCTCCAGCAGCCCCAGAGAGAGGAGGCAGAGGTCGGGCTTGTTGCCCAGGTTGACCAGGCACGGGTTGGTGTTGTTGGTGGTGGTTGATCCCTGTTTGTCAGACGCAGCCTCCTCATCGCTGTCGATGCTGCGGCTTAACAGCTGCTCGTTCTCTGATGACGCATCATTTTCACTGCACAGACAAAGACACTTATTGGAACACATGTGCAACATATTCTCTGGTTTCATATAAAACTCAGAGACCAGACACACAGTTAAAATGTGAATATGTGATCTCCTGCCAGTAATTTTCTTGAGCTTCTACATTCTTACCGCTATAGGCAGGTAATTTTTTTTTTTTTCATTCAACTCTTATACAACTAACAATTAAATGCACCACATGAGTTTTATATCTCGTGTTTTGTTTTCGTAACAAGATTTATTAGCAGGCTACTCTGCAGTTTAGGGTTCACTTTCACATAAAAGTCCATTTTTTAAAAACATTTCAATCCGTGAAGTAAACAAAAATGTAAAAGTCTCTAGAGCCTGTGTTTGGTTTGTCTATTCTGGGCAAATATGGCAGTACAACATGGTTTACTGGATTTGTGGACAGTGGTGGGATGTAACAAGGTACATTTATGTATACTACTATTATGAATACTTATGTATTCTGTACTTTTCTTAAATACATTTACTGTATTATCAGGTACTTTTCACTTTTACTTTACTACATGTCAGCAAATATCTGAGTTTTCCACTCGGCTCTACGCTGCGTTACATCTTCACGTTATTTTTCTATATTTTTATTTTTAAAAATAATGAGTGACGAGGGGAATTGTTCCACTGATCCAAACAGAGCGGACAGGTAACATAAGACCCCGCTTCCTGCAAAGCACATCTGCAGTAGCAGATACTCCTCTGCCGAGAATCAGATAAAATGAGGCAGTTTACCTCAGAAGTACTTTTACCAATTAATACTATTTAAAAACAAGTACTTACTTAATTTTAATCAAGTACAAAGGTTAATGAGGTACTTCCTCGACCCCTGCACTTCTAACGTAGATATAAAATACTAATTTCAAGGTAATGAAAACACATTTCTTTATTGTAGTAGATTATACACTGATGAAAAAAAATGATTGGTATTATATTCCATTTCTATCAATGGATCCACACACTGGACCTTTCAACAAATTAATCTCGTATTACTCATTATACATTAAAAAACGTAATGTCCGGAGAGTAAAACACAAGTTATCACCCTGCACAATAAAATGTGTTGTATCTTATTTTCATTGCAGAGACATGATGATATTTTGTCAGTATGAAAAAAAGCATGTTGCAAAACAAAAAAATTACTTATTGCAATTATACTCAGAAGTAAGATTACTCTTTGGCCCTGATATATGTTTTTACTATTCTCTTAAATGTCACTTCCCGCTCTTCTGATTTGCCCTCAGACATATCAATAAATATGCACTCCTTGGAGTTATTGGCAGAGTATATGGTTTTGCTGCTGTAATTAAAGGTGCGAGTGACAGCCAATACACACAGAGTGACTCATGATCTTTGCAGAATCAACGGGAACTTTGACCAATGAAAATGTCTCGTAGAAGAATGATGTTGTTGTTGCCATAGCTGCTGGTGTTTCTGAGCTGTTCCTGTGATTGATTGAAATAGCACTGCGATTTTATAACATGATACCGTATAATATCATTTTATTACCCATCATCTCCCTCCCTGCGCCTGCTCTGGGTTTTTCTCACAAAATCACCTTGTTGACAGAGAATGCCATTGTTTCACAGTCCTACGCTCTTTTTCCTCAACACACACACACACACACACACACACAAAATGCCATTGTTTCTTAGACATCTAACACCCACGCTGGCAGTTACAGCAGTGAGTTAGCACATCCTTTGGCATGCTGCTATACCACACTATTAGAGGAGGTGTGTGTGTGTTCTGTGTGTGTGTCATCTATTCTTTAATTTAGACCCCTTCCCTGTCCTGGGAAAGTCAATATAAGTGTGTGTTTGGTGCAAGAACTACGACATTTTAACACAAACGCTGACTGAAGGTTTGTGTGTTGTGTTGTGTTGTGTTGTGTTGTGCGCAATCATGCGTCTCCACACTTCTCCCATCCATCAGCCACCAGGACCCATAAAGCAGCATTGTCTGCAGATGAGATGTATGCAAAAAAGATGAAGGTGAGAAAATCTGTCGTCCTTTTGTTGTCTGCCAGGATGTGCTTTCACCTGGTGGTGGTTTTAGGTGAAGCCTGGAATAAATACCCCTATCTGCTCCAACAACTACCCCCTCTGTCTGTCTCTCAGTGTTTGTTAGGCTTCAGGGCTCATCTATGCTACA